ATATTTAATAAAAAACTGGTGAAGGGGTGGCAGGGAGATGGTTAAGGAAAAGTATACCCTGATTTCTGGATGACAGTTTTTTGAGGGAATATAAATCAATATAATGAGAAATGCAAAGAGAAGGTAAGTACAGGATTATATTAAAAAAAATAAAAATTAAGAATACTTAGATAAAATATTCAAAAATAGATTAAAAAAAAAATAAATTAAAAAAATACGATTCGAAATGTTTTTGACAATTTATCGACAATCGAGATCAATTTTCTTATTTGTTTTATGTTTATTATGTTATAAGAAGAGTAAAAGTTAAGAATATTTAGTCGAAATATTCAAAAATAAAATTTAAAACAAAATTAAATTAAAAAAAAAAAAACTATTTGAAAAATCTTTGTCAATTTATCGACAATCGAGATCAATTTTCTATAAAGTTTGATTTTTTTTAATTTTTTTTTTTCAACATTTTCAATATTTTGAGTAAATTTCTGAAACAATTTTCAATAATGCAAAATAAAAAATTTCATAGAGATTTTCGATAAATTCTTGATAATTTTTCTAAAAATTAGCGATAAAAGTTTGTAACGAAAACAAAAAATAATAATAATATAATAATAATAATAATAATAATAATATAATAATAATAATAATAATAATAATAATAATAATAATAATATATAATAATAATAATATAATAATAATAATAATAATAATATAATAATAATAATAATAATAATAATAATAATAATAATAATAATAATAATAATAATAATAATAATAATAATAATAATAATAATAATAATAATATAATAATAATAATATAATAATAATAATAATAATAATAATAATAATAATAATAATATAATAATAATAATAATAATAATAATAATAATAATAATAATAATAATATATAATAATAATAATAATAATAATAATAATAATAATAATAATAATAATAATAATAATAATAATATATAATAATAATAATAATAATATAATAATAATAATAATAATAATAATAATAATAATAATAATAATAATATAATAATAATAATAATAATAATAATATAATAATAATAATAATAATAATAATAATATATAATAATAATAATAATAATAATATAATAATAATAATAATAATATAATAATAATAATAATAATAATATAATAATAATAATAATAATAATAATAATAATAATATAATATAATAATAATAATAATAATAATAATAATATAATAATAATAATAATAATAATATATAATAATAATAATAATAATATATAATAATAATTAATAATAATAATAATAATAATAATAATAATAATAATAATAATAATAAATATAATAATAATAATAATAATAATAATAATAATAATAATAATATAATAAAATAATAATAATAATAATAATAATATAATAATAATAATAATAATAATAATAATAATAATAATAATAATATAATAATAATAATAATAATAATAATAATAATAATAATAATAATAATAATAATAATAATAATAATAATAATAATAATAATAATAATAATAATAATAATAAAATAATAATAATAATAATAATAATAATAATAATAATAATAATAATAATAATAATAATAATAATAATAATAATAATAATAATAATAATAATAATAATAATAATAATAATAATAATAATAATAATAATAATATAATAATAATAATAATAATAATAATAATAATAATAATAATAATAATATAATAATAATAATAATAATAATAATAATAATAATAATAATAATGATAATAATAATAATAATAATAATAATAATAATAATAATAATAATAATAATAATAAATAATAATAATATATGATAATAATAATAATAATAATAATAATAATAATAATAATAATAATAATAATAATAATAATATAATAATAATGATAATAATAATAATAATAATAATAATAATAATAATAATAATATAATAATAATGGATTTTCTATAAATTTTCTAAAATTTGTTTTCAAAAAATTTTTTCTGTAATTTCTGATACATTTTCGATAATACTATGACAAAAAAAATCTACATAATTTTTCGAAAGATTTGAAAAATTTTCAATAGATTTTTGACAAATTTCCCTACATTTTTTGATTTCTTTTAATTTATTTTTTTTGTTCAAAAATACTCTATAAATTTTCAATATTTCGTATAATTGTTTATAATTTCTTGATTAATGTTGAAAAATACAACGAAAAAGTTCTATATAAATTTTTGATACATTATCGATAATTCTTTTAAAATATATATATGTTTTTAATCTTCGATACATTTTCAATATTTTAAATATCTTTTTTACAATTTCTTGATACATTTTCAATAATACCAGAAAACAAATAAAAAAGCTTTAAGATCGGCCGGACCGAACTTTGAAAACCCTCCACCACTTGGAAAGAATTTGGCAACTCTCAAAAAAATAAAATCCGTTATAAATTCTGTTAAAATCTTAAAAATACCGAATGTAGCCGTTATATTGGGGTATATACGGCGACGTGGAAAATTATCAAAATACTGAATATAGAGAGGTACTATTATATGGGGCTATACCAAAACGTGGACCTGCACAGGAAATTTTCTGTCATAAGCTGTAATATCCCTTACGAACTTCAAATACCAAATTTGAAACAATATAGGTGAATAATGTCGATAAAATCATTAATATACCGAATATGGGGAGGTACCGTTATATGAGGGCTATACGAAGACATGGGCCTGCAGGGACAATTTTCTGTCTTAGGCTGTAATATCAAATACGAACTTCAAATACCAATTTTTAAACAATTTCGGTGAATAATGTCGCTAAAAATCATCAAAATACCGAATATCGGGAGGTACTGTTATATGGAGGCTATACCAAAACCTGGACCTACTGGGCCCATTTTCAATAGCAAAAGTCTTGCAGACATAACATACAGTTGAGTAAAATTTGATCAACCTACTTCATTTCGTTCGGAAGCTAGAGTGATTTCCACAAACGGAAAGACGCACGGACATCGCTAAATCGATATAGAATTTTATGCTGATCAAGAATATATGTACTTTTTGTTGTCTAAAATGCATATTTCGAGGTGTTACATACGGAATAACAAACTTAATATACCCTCTATACTTTGGTGGAGGGTATAAAAATTTATTTAAATTTTCTATAGATTACAGATAATTCTTCGATAGATTGTCAAAGACCAAAAGAGTTCCATTCGAAAAATTTTCAATAGATTTTCGATAAACTTTCAACATTTTGGATAATTTTCTACAATTGCATCATTTACTCTCAAAAATACTATGAATAATATTTCAATTTTCTTTCGATATATTTTCAATAATTTGGGTAATTTTTTACAATTTTTTGATAGATATTCAATAATTCTTCTAAAACATTTCTATACAAATTTTCGAAAAATTAACGTTAATTTTACGACAAATTATCGATAATAGTTTGTGAAGGACAAGGACATTTTCCAATTTTTTTTTTGATTTTTTTTAAATATTGGATATTTTCAAAATTTTGGGTTATTTTCTACTATTTATGATTATTGATTAATAACAATAATACTACGAAAAAAAATACAAATGTTCAATAAATCACCCATAATTATTCGATAAATTATCGATAAAAGAACCTAGGAATTCTATTCGAAAAATGTTCATTAAATTTTTGATAAAATTTCTAAAAATTTGAAAAAATAATTTCAAAATTAATATATTTAATATATTAATATATTTTCAATATTTCTACATAAATTTTCGAATAATTTTTAATTTCTATCCGATAAATTTTCCATAGATTTTCTATAAGTTTTCCAAAAATTTTTGATTTTTTTTATTTCAAAAATTTTGTTTAATTTTTTATAATTTCTAATACATTTTTAATAATACTACAAAAAAATCTATACAAATTTTTGTTAAATCACCTATAATTCTTCGATAATAGTTTATCAAGGAACAAAAGTGTAGAGTAGTAGTAGTATTAGATATTAGAAATTTTCGATACATTTTCTAAAAATTTGGTTATTTTTCCTCAAAAATATTCGACAAATATTCAATACTTTGGATAATTTTCTAAAAAAAAATTAATAAATTTTCAATAATGCTACAAAGAAGTCTATATAATTTTTTTTTTAATAAATTTTCGATTAATATTCGTCAAATTATCGATAACTGATTTTCAAGGACGAAACGAGTCCAATTTAAGGTAGTCAGCAGTTAAAGGGCTTCTATGGACAAAAAATTACTTCTTACGTTTATTTTAATACATTTAGTTTCCCTTGGCCGGAACACAAGTTTGTTTCTTAAGTCTTTTGTTTCCATGGGGGTATGCTGAAGATATGTCATATTTTATTGGAGAAATAAAAGTTTATATTGGGGTGGCAGGTTTTTTTAGAATATAAATTAGATTAATGAGTAGTATAAAAGGTGTATGAGAAGTTTTCGAGAATAAAAAAATTAAGAATTATCAGTAAAAAATATTCAAAAAATTTTCAATAGTTTTTCGATAAATTTTCTACAAATTTTTAATTATTTTTTCAAAAAATATTTGAAAATTTTTGAATATTCTAGATAATTTTCTAAAATTTTTTTGATAAATATTAGATAAATTCTCGATCATTTGTCAAGGACCAAATGAGTCCCATTTAAGGTGGTTCGCAGTTGAAAGGCTAGTTTTTTCTGAAAGGCTAATTTTTCAGTTTATTTTATAAAATTTAATAGTCCATCCTAGGAAAACAAGTTTGTTGCTTAAGTCTTTTGTTTCCGTGGGGGTATTTTCAAGAGATTGCATATTTTGATGCAGCAAATAACTGTTGATATTGTCCAGTTTCAAACAACTAACATTAAATTTTGTTATAACATATTAATCCCACTCTATGGCCATTATCAACTTTCATATTTTATTAAATAATGCATTTGCTAATAAATATTTATTATATACAAAAACTATAAAAAACGCACAGATTTTCCCATAGAAACTTACCTTGCAACCTTCACACGTGAATGCGCCAAAATGGAAACCTGCCGCCGGTTCGCCACAGACCTTACAGGTCTGATTCATCTGTAAAGAAAACAAGAACATGTTAATGAATTATGACCAACAGAATTCGATATTTTTTGTAGTTAAGACTACGGGAAAACGTTCCATTTTATGATATAAAAGAAAAAAAATCGTAGCCATGGAAAAAATTCAATTAAAAAGCCACAAATCTTTTTTTTTTTTTTTTTTTTTTCTGTGGCATGACAATAATAAAACTCAATATGTATGGCAACATAACTTGAAGCGAAATTCACACGCATGATAATGGATGGGATAAGAGATTCGAAAAAAAAAAACTGAAAAACAATTTCAATATGGAAAACACCAAAGCAAAACTTGGCCAGCCTTTCAGATAGTTTTCCAGCTCAACACTTCTTTTCCTAATGCATTGCATTCCTTTTTTTTTGTATTTCATAAAAAAATTGAGTAATGAGTGAGCAATTTTCCAAGCACTCCCTGCCTTATACTGCTTTTGCAAATGTATATGGTTTTCACATATCATCTCCCTCCAGGCCTTTATGCTGTAAAAAATTTGCATATGTTATGGCATGTCCGACGTAACCAAAGAAATCATCTTTGCTTAATCTCCCAAGAAGAGGAGTTCAGTTCAGGCAGCCACTACATGCAGATCTTCTGGTACTTGAGGATATGGCCTAAGCCAGGGAATTGGTAAGCAAAACAAATATTTATTACTTTGCTAACGTTTATCAACAATTTGTAATCTTAGCATAAAGGCCAAGGTCTTTAAGGCAGTCCATGGAAATAAATTTTCTCCGGTACAAAAAAAAAAAAAAAAAATAATAATAATGTATTTTACATTGCATACTCACACACACACAGGTCAACTATGTTACAAAATGGGAGCATCAGTGTTACAGGAAGGTAACAAGGAAAATAAAATTGAAACGACAACTACATCTTCTCCTTTTTTTTGTTGATCCATAATCAACACCAATTTTATGGTAGCCATTTTCCCTCATTTTTTGGTAGGAAAATAATTTTTGGAAAATTTTGGAAAAAAAATGTGTAATAAATTAAGGAAAGTAGGGCAATAAAAGCGATATAAAAAATTATTTTTGAAATATTTATTAAAAATATTTTTAATGTAGATGTTTGAAAACATTTTGTAGGGTAGATATTTTTTGAAATATGGATTTAAAAAAAATATTTTTTGCTGCACATTTTTTGGATTTTATAAAATAATTATTTTTCATATATAAAATATTTTTATAAAATATTTACAATAATATTTTATAATTTATTTTTTATATAACATAGCAATAAAAGTGCATTTTATAACATGTATTTTCAAATTATTTATTTAGAAAAATTTTCAAGTTAGATGTTTAGAACTATCTTCTTAAATTTAATATTTTAGATATATTTTTTTAGTATTAAATTATTTAAAAAAATACTTTAATAATATTTATTTGGAAATATTTTTCAAGGTAGATTTTAAGAAATTTTTTTCAATGTGATGGTTAACACATATTTTTTTATATAAGATTTTTTTAAAATATTTTTCGCAGTGTATTTTTAATATTTATTTATAGTATAATTTTTAATAAACATATTTTAAAAAATAAAAATATTATTAAATACTATTATTTTTATAATATTATTATTTAATATTTTTAACATATTTTTTTCAACATTTTTTATTAATATAGAAAAAGAATATTTCTACTAAGATTTTTAGAACATATTTTTTAAGTGGTTTTAAAAAATAATTTTTAACATAGATTTTTTACAATTTTTTTTACCCAACAACACTATTTTTTAAAAACATTTTTTAAGGTGGATATTTTGGCCAAGTTTTTATAAATACGGATTCTTTATACCCTACAACACTATGTGTTGGAAATATTATAAGTTTGATTGAGCCAAAAATTTTAGGCTTAGGCTTAGAAAGGCTAGGTCTATTTTTTTTCAAAGATGTCCGCAATTCATTTAGGGGCTGAAATAGACCAACTAGAGTAGAGTATCACATGGTTGGCACCGCACGACTATAGCCTTTGCTTACTTGTTTCTAATTACGGGTTTTTAAATATTTTTTGCGGAACATTTTTTAGATAATTTTTTGTAATCTATGTTGATGAAAAATATGAATAAAAAAAAATAGGTTAAAAATATTTTGTAAAATACATATTACATTAAAAAATGATTGAATATTATTAAGAAAAATATTTATAAAATATTATTATAAAAATATTATTTATAAAATACAATAAAATATTTTTGATTTAAAAAAATATATTTCTTTTAAATTAAATTACTAAAAAAAATTATAAAATTTTCTGGGATTATTATGATACTAACAAGCAAGGTATAGAGCCTTACATTCGACCTAAATATTTAGATTGGTTCCCATAGTTCGTGTTAGGCTTTTTTAATACTCAAAACTCCCAAATTGTTCAATTTGACCAAATTTTTAATGAAAACTTCACGCAGAGTACTAAATTTTCAGACGTTCAAGGTTTTATTTAATTTTCGAATTTTCGCTTCATCAATTTTTTTTGTTCAAAACTATTTCAACGTGTCCATATGTAAACAGTGAACCCAGTATCAAATTTCAGTTCTATCCCTTCACCTAAAAAAAAAAATTGAATAACATTTAGTACGCATATCCAACTGATATCTTATTCCTAGACGAAAACAGTGATCCCAAATTTTTTTGGTTAAGTACTTTTCGAAAAATTATAATATTCCAAAACCACCTCCATTTTTCAATTCCAGATACCAACAGAGACCTCAATATCAAATTTGAGGGTTTCAGCCCTATCCCCTCACCCAATTCCAAATTTGGTACCATTTAATACTTTTCATACAAATACACGACTCATTTCGAAACCACAGCCATATTTTAAACACAGATATCATCAGTAATTTAAATATTAAATTTGAGATTTTTATCTTATTTTTTTAAATGTTTTTTATAACGTATTTTAAGCCGGGGTTTTATAAAAATGTTTTTTTTTTAAATAGTACAGCAACGTGGATTTTTATGAAAAAAATGTTTTTTTTTCGAAGAGGCATGTATTCTGGATTTTATAAAAACGTTTTTCCATAGAAGCAAGCAATATTAATATTTATATTTTTTTTTTTTTTTTTCAAAAATATTAGTAACTTTAGTTTTTATGAAAAATATTTTTGCAAGGAAAGAATAAACATAGATTTTTATAAAAATGGTTTTTATTTTTATTTTCAATGTTAGGTTAAATTTCATTAAAATATGCATTCAAACCAACCAGATCAAAGTGAGACTAGACTGGATTTTTGAAAATAAAAATTTATATAAATTGAAGGCGGGCTTTCATCTAAGGTGGATTTTCTTAAAAAAAATATTTTTTTCAAAGGTTGAGTAACGTGGATTGTTAAAAAAAATATATCTTCAAAGATCGGCTTTGATATTTTTAATTTTTTTTTTTTTACTGAGAATAATTTTCAGGGGAACACAATTTTCATAGGATTAAGGTTTTTGAATTTTTTAAATTTTCTATGAAAAGTGCCGAAATACCGGTGGATTTGTTGTAGGGACCCATGGTGGTTATTCTTACAAAAAATTTTTTTCGAGGGACAATCAATAATAAATTACTCCCAGCCATTAATAATTTTCTTCAAAGGAAGAACCATGGATTTAAAAATCTGAATTTTTCTTCCCTATCCCCTGAGGTGTTGTAGGGCCCAAAACATAGATGTCATTGTAAATTTCCCATGCCACACTGCAATTGGAAAACAAATCTCAAACTTCTGCTCTTCTTTAATTTTTCGAAAATTTTACAATATTTACAGCATTCAACATGCAGATTATTGTTATGTCCCTTGTCACTACCTCTTACTCTTAATCTTTGTTGTTTTTTTTTTTTTTTTTTTTTTTTTGAAAACTATACTGGATTTATACATAAAATTAAAGGCGACTTTCACGAGGTGGATTTTCATATAAAAAAATATTTTGTTTTTAAGTGGACGGACTATTAAAAAAATATATCTTCAAAGTTCGACTTATTTGGATTTTTTACAACCTTTTTTTTCAAAGGTTCACTGGTGTAAATTTTTGTTGAAAATATTTTTTCAAAGGATTAAGGAATATTTTTTTTAATTTTTTTTTTTCAAAGGGCAAATGAGGTGGATTTGTATTAAAATATTTTTTTTTTTGGAACAGTGTTTGGCTTGCTTGTTTGGGATACCATAGTATTTTTTTTTTTTTTCAAAAGTCGATAAATGAGATTAAATTATTTTCTCGAAGGACCCATGGTGGATTTTCTTACGAATATTTTTTCGAAGGACCGCCACTAATGAAAAACTCCTAGCAATTAAGAATATGCGTCAAAGGCGGAGGTGGATTTTCATATAAAAAATAGTTTTTTTTTTTAAAGTTTACGGACTGTTAAAAAATATATCTTCAAAGTTCGACTTATTTGGATTTTTTTACAAACAATATTTTTTTAAAGGATTAAAGAATATATATTTTTTTTTAAAAAGCAAATAAGTTGAATTTGTATTAAAATATTCAAAAGTCGATAAATGAGATTAAATTATTTTCTCGAAGGACCCACGGTGGATTTTCTTACGAATATTTTTTCGAAGAACCGCCACTAATGAAGAACTCCTAGCAATTAAGAATATGCGTCAAAGGCGGAACCTTGGTTTTAATAATCTGAGTTTATTATCAACCCTGAGGTGATGTAGGGCTCAAAAACATAGATGTTAATGTAAATTTCCCATGACATCCTGCAATTGGGAAAAAATCTGGAACTCCTGCTCTTCTTCTTTCATTTTTCGAAAATGTTACAATATTTACAGCACTCAACATGCAGATTATTGTTATGTCCTTTGCCACTACCTCTCACTCTTTCGTATTTTTTGTTGTGGAAAGCAAAACCTTGTTGCATAAATGTTGTTACACTGTTACTTTATTTATGGCATCGCGATGATTTGTTTGCATTTTAAGTTGAGATTATTTCCTATGGGTTCCGTTCCTACTTCTTCCTTGTTCGGCAATGGCAAGACACAATTTCTGT